TATAACGCCAGTAAAGGCGTAATAACGCGAAAAAAGGGCGTCCTTAACCTTTTAAAAAGGCTAAACTACGCCTTTTCAAAAGAGTTATAAAGCCAAAAACGCATAATAACGCGAAAAAAGGCTTTCGAAAAGGTTTTAATATTATATACGCTTTTCAGAAAACCGTATTACCCCTTTTAAAAAGGCATTAACTTGCCTTAAAAAGGCGTGTTACGCCTTTCCAAAAGGCACTATTATGCCTTTCAGAAAAGCGTCATTACGCTTTTCAGAAAGACGGTATTACGCCTTTTAAAAAGGCGTTATTTTGCTTTTCAAAAAGGCGTTATTATGCATTTCCAAAAGGCGTAATTGCACCTTTCAAAAAGGTGTTATCACGCCTTTTTTTTTAAAGAAAAAAGGGGGGGGGGGCAGCCTCTCAAGAATTTGATAAGTTAAAAAATCAGCAACAACACATTTAACATTAAAAAAAACTGCATTAACTCGAAAATATTGGTAGGGGTGAGGGGGAATTCTCTTAGGGGGAACTTTCTGACAGGTAACTTTTTGGCCAGAGTTCGACCATACTGCATCAAAATTCAGGGGCCAAGCAGCCTATGAATGAACTTCTTTTATTAAAACTACAGCAAGACTACTCTCACATAAATGTGGCCTGTTTGAAAATGCTTTATAGTGAAAATGGTAATGAATTATTACACATGTATATGTGAATAATCATATGAATGGTGAAATCAAAGCCATCTTTTATTCATGCAACATTAAAAAAAAATATTTTCTTTATCCTGAACACCTCGCAGACGATATTAAAATAAGTCAACACTATACTTTTGAAAATCCAGGATTTAGGCAGATGCAGCTTGGGGTTTTGCTGGTCATAGTTTAAAAACATTTATTTCACATTTGAACATTAATTATTTCACATCTGAAAATCTTGTTCTTTCCTTTTGGGAAAAAAGCAGGCGAACTACATGTATTTGAATGGTTAGAATAAGCAATAAGCATTCAACCAAAATTGATGAATCCATGTTCCTTGGTCCAGGTGTCTGGCATCAGAGAATGGCTAAGTTGGTTAAACATTGAAAACAAATTACACATTTAAAAATCTTTCTTCCTGAATATCTAACGACACTCTGTAAAAATTATTTTGAGAAATTAACCTTATTCCAAGTTGTGAAATTCATGTCCCGAGGGTCAATATTTCAGCCCCCAAGGTGAGCTAAGTGAGTCATGTATTGAAAATAAAGGCGTAATAGAGTCTTTTGTAAAGACGTAATACACCTTTTTTCGCGTTATTTCTCCTTTTTTTTTTTTTGCGTTATAACGCCTTTTCACTTCGCAGTAATACGCTTTTTTCGTGTTATTACAGTTTTTCACTTGGTGATATTGCATTCAATCTAGGACAGTGAACAGCTGTTATTATAAGACCAAGAGATAAACCCTGGTTTGATTCTGCACTACGAAAGACTTTTCCTTCCCCTCTACTCGCAGGAAATGCTATGGATGCACTTACTCGTTTTATAAAATAAGATCCTTCTTTGATGTCAAACTATAGACCAGTTTTCGTTGTTGAGCTGTGTAGGGAAAATTATAGAACGAGTTGTATTTAAGTATATTTAAAACTGCAGCTTTATGCTGCAAGAATCGTGACATGTTTAACAATAACTTCTGAAGATTCAGTACTTTGAAACGGGATGGGAAGACAATACTTAGAAGACAAGCAGCTAGATTAAAGACAATAACAACTTAGTGCCAGATGATCTAATGTACATTCTTCCATATATGCTTTGTAATATATCCATCTAGCTATTCTACAATTAGTTCTGAAAATTACGATATTTCAAACTGTTGATTACAGACTTATAAGTCAACAAAAGTCTACTGCAGTTAAGAATGGAACTAATTTCCACTTGAAATTAGAAAAAAGCTAGGTTCACTTTATCCGTAGAATGGCCTGTATATAGTCTCCTCTATACCGATTAACTGATCAGGGCCCAATGTCCCATTTCAAACGTCAATATAAAGTAGAGATTTCGTGTTTCATTTCTTATAAAAAGCTTCCCATGAGAGTCGAGGTATTAAACAAGAGACCCATGGGCCACAACGTTCACCTTAGTCAATACGGCCCTAGCTGCTGTTCTTCATCGGCAGATTTTTTCTATTATAAACTCCTATGTAAAACTTTTATCCCTATTGCGACCCCTCCATACTCCCGGGGGTCATGCTTTGAACAAACTTGATTCTACACTACCTCAAGATACTTCCATATCAATGTGACTAAACAAAGCTTTGATGTTTGTGAGAAAAAATTTTTAGAGAATTTTTTTTCCTATACATCCATATGTTAAACTCATATAGTGCATTGAGGCCCCACCCTATCCTCAGGGGTCATGATTTGAACAAACTTGAATCTACCCTACATGAAGATGTTTCCATAAAAATATGAGTAATCGTGGCTTTGCTGTTCTTGAGAAGATTTTTGAAGATTTTTTCCTATATTTCCTATGTAAATTTTGATCCCTCATTGTGACCCACCCTATCCCTGGGGGTCATGATTCAAACATATTGAATCTAAACTATGTAAAGAAGGTTTCATACAAGTTTCAACTTTTTTGGCCCAGTTGTTTCTGAGAAGATTTTTAAAAGATACCATTAAATTTTCATTAGTCTTATTCCTAATTATCCCCCCCTCCACTTGAATCCCCTCCACCCAAGGATACTTTGTGGCAAGTTGGTTGAAATTGGCCTAGTGGTTCTGGAGAAGAAGTCGAAAATGTGAAAAGTTTACAGGCGGACGGACGACAGACAAAATGTGATCAGAAAAGCTCACTTGAGCTTTCAGCAAAAACAGATTTTTTGTGTTCTTGAATTTTGCAGAAAATGTGTATTTGAGTACCTTCGGCGTAGAACTAAAATCTGAGCCCACATCTCGATCCAAAAAATAAAACATGTAATATAATCTGCAGAAACAGATCTTTCATTAATTAATTGCACATTTTGGATGAGAGGTTGGGCTGTATGCGAAATATTGAAAACAAACTTAAAGTCCTCGCCATTTTTTTAAAGAAATGTTTAGGTTTTTACCAAAATGACGCAATTCATTATGTTAAAAAATACATGGACTAGCGAGAAAATTGCGTCATATTTTTAATATATAGATATGCAGTCACCAAGGGTCCGAGTGATATTTTATGTATTGTCAACTCAAACTGAACAGTTTTGATTTTTCAGAAATTCAGAGGGCCAAAAGAGGTCCTAAGTGAACATTGTTCTTTAAAATCAGTGTCAAATTTTAAATCTAAAATTAGCATTAAAAAATCTGGTCCACTATTTTGAATACGGTAACAAAGGACTGAATGTTCTCCAGACCAGACTTCGACATAATCTTGTAATAATACTTTTACAGATGTAATTTTAATTTTAAGCTTTCTATATTCATGTGCTAAAATAGAAGATATGATCATTATTTTTTATATATATGTTCAAAGTATATAGAAGCCAGAAAAGATTTTTTTGATAAATGTCTACTATTAGATAAAATTCACATTTTAGATACACATGTCTTATTATGGGGGACAGATTCATTTAGTGCTGCAGAGAATGAACTTTTTAGCTCACCTGAGCTGAAAGCTCAAGTGAGCTTTTCTGATCACCCGTTGTCCGCCTGTCCGTCCGTCTGTAAACTTTTCACATTTTCAACTTCTTCTCAAGAACCACTGGGCCAATTCTAACCAAACTGGTACAAAACATCCTTGGGTAAAGGGGAGTTTAAATTGTTAAAATAAAGGGCAAAGTCCCTTTCAAAGGGGAGATAATCAAGAAAATACAAAAATTGGGTGGGGCCATTAAAAAATCTTCTTCTCAAGAACCACTGGGCCAGAAAAGCTGAAACTTATGTGGAAGCATCCTGAGGTAGTGTAGATTCTAAATTGTTCAAATCATGACCCCCGGGGGTAGGGCGGGGCCACAATAGGAAATCCAAGTTTTACATTGAAATATATAGAAAAAATCTTTAAAAATCTTCTTCTCAAGAACCGCTGGGCTAGAAAAGCTGAAACTTATGTGGAAGCATCCTGGGGTAATGTAGATTCTAAATTGTTCAAATCATGACCCCCGGGGTAGGGCGGGGCCACAATAGGGAATCCAAGCTTTACATTGAAATATGTAGTAAAAGTCTTCTTCTCAAAAACCACTGGGCCAGAAAGGCTGAAACTTGTAAGGAAGCATCCTGGGGTAGTGTAGATTCTAACTGAACAAATCATGACCCCTTTGGGAAGGGCGGGGCCACAATAAGTACTACAAGGGGGGGGGGATCAGGTGAAAAACAGCAAGGCCAAAGTTACTCAGGTGAGCGTTGTGGCCCATGGGCCTCTTGTTTTCTTTACTGTTCATACATTTATCAAACATGCTGACAGATTCACGTTAGTATTAATAATTAGTATTAGTATTAATAAATATTTTACAAAATTATATGCGTGTTTCTTTAAAATACATTGAATTGTAAATTTAACATATATTTTAAATTTGCATGTTTAACTGTGACATAATTAAAACATGTAATTTAAATGTAGCAAGAGGGCATAATAAGTTTTTAGAACTTATGCCCAATCCTTTTGTAATTCAAAATTACTATAAAATATGTTGTTCACCACTGAACCTTCTAAAACTTCAAAGAAAAAAAGGAGGAGGAGGTGTTGCGGGACATATACTTGTCTTGTCTAACCCAATGGTGGTAGCAAGGAAATTGAGTGTTTGCCCCCCCCCCCATACACACACACAAACACACTCCACTGCTATCCATATGACAGCCACCCCCCTTTACATTGTCAAAAAGCCATATATCTTACCCATCCAAATATGTATTTTAAAATAAATGTTACGCTTTACATCCATTATAGGCTGTTCTACTTTGAGGACACTTGATATATTGATTCTATTGTAAGGGCCCATGAAAAGATATATGCCGACGACACCTATATTGAATGCATACATAGTTGTTGTAGCGTGTAAGTAGCGGAACACTTGTAGGATCTTAAGCTTCCGAGTTGTATTATAAAGGCTTGAATTCTGTTGACAGATTCGCAATGTCGGAAGAAAAACATATTATAGGTAGGTGAAAGTTAATATCCTGAATATTGCATTGTTCATGATTATTTTTTTGTAGTTAAAGCATTTTGCATTCTTTCCGAGAAAAAAAACAAAGCGGCACCGGGTACATGGATTTTAGTTCGTGCTACACGAGAATTAAGCACGACCTTCTGTTACGGCATGTGATGCTGTGAATGGAGATTCATAAGTGGTTCTAAAAATACATACATGTATAACTTCTTGTTTATTTAAGATATATATCGGTATATTTTATTTGTTAAAAGCACCATTCTGAAATTCAAATACAGCGATCAGACTGGAAATATTTATCATTTGACTTAAAAAGAGAAAATGGGGGATCGCAACCTCACGTAGTATTGTTACTCAAGGACAATGAACATCTGATGGAGACTATAGGTGTGTTGTGCTTGCAGTTATAAATAATACACAATAAAAATAGCTGTACACAAACAAAACACAAAATCACAACACAATTATTTCTTTGAAGGAGCATTCTCTAATCATCCAATGGATCAAGTATGTGCACACCTTCTACATACTAGTAAAACCTACAGTTATGCTCATCATCTGCTACACAGCGAACTACCTTAGACATGTCGACAAGAAACACATCGATGAGATGTTAAATAATATAGTTATATGCACGGCTGAAATAGAAATCGATCATAGATATTAATATCCCTTTTTTCCCCAAGTCCAATTCAAGGTTACAAGCAGTACATTGTTTAATCATCACATGATCATCCTAACACATGACTCCCTCGCCTTTAGAAGCGTACAACTATTTTAACTTTCTCTATCGGATCCAAGATTATTTACAAGGGGGGGGGGGGTCGTGTGTGCTTTCAACTAAAATGTATTTTTAACCCGAAATGCGGAGAAATAGCTTGCGATAATTATCAAAATACATTTTTGATTAATGTCCAGCTGTACTTTTAAGTTTTGGGAGATCCAAAACCAGGTGTATGTACAAATTGTAGCGGAGAAACACAGGATCTGTTACCTTTGTGAGTCATTAATTAAATGACATATTTACAACTATATTCATTCTTGGTTCTGTATTCTTACTGAAAAAATAACGGAGATGCAGGAAGCAACATGTTTTGATTTTCATTCTTTACATATTGAAGGCATAAATATATGTTTTTTAAATTGGGGGGCATTTGGGGATAAGCAAAATACATGTACTTAAGTAGGAAGGAAAGAGTACATTCTATAGTTAGATATGAGTGTTAAAAGCTGGATAGGCTGTATTATGCGAGGAAAATAAAAGGAAAAGGATCGATGAAATCAGCTTTAAATAAATTATTTTGGGAACCATAGGTTTTGTTATATTATGTTTCAATTATCAGAATTGAAATAAAATTGCTTTTCATTCATCCTCTTGGATTTTTTTTTGTTTGTTTGTTTACTTTTTTTTTTGTTTTGAACATATTTTATTGTATAATAGATACAAAGAGGATGGATTCAAGTTCTTGCAACTTAGAAAATCTTTTCTCTGTAATAAAATACAATGAATTTAATTACAGTCGTAATGAAAATGTGAAGTTTTACATGTTATATACTACTATACAAGATATTTCAATAATCTTCCAAGAATGAAATCGGCACAGAAGAATGTAGGTTTTTTTCCACTTAAAATAGCATAAAAATATTAATTTTGGAGATTAAATAATTTTCCCCAGTAAATTTTTCTGAGGAAAAATCGCGTAACCTCATGAAAAATACTTTTCTCCGATCAAAAAATTTTCCCTCTCAAAGTTTAAGTGAAAATGAAATATGCTTTTTGATACATTCATAATAAATTCATTTTCAATACATACCTGGTTTCTTATATAAAATGTCAATTAATATGGCAAGTCGCACAAGGAACAAACAGATTACTTATTAATTTATACCCAAAACTATATTTTTTTGATTAAGGGAAGGTTATCATAAATTACAAACAAACAATATCTTTGATGGTTTCCGTTGTAGTTGCTCCTTATATAAAATGGCCACTTTTATTATACTAAAAGCTATGGTTGGGTGACAAAGCCGCTCACTTGAGGAAGGGCTAGCTGTTTTATCAAGTGAAATTTAAACCAGCCCCCTCCCTTCCAGTAGAAAAACGGTGAAGTATTGAGTAAATTGTTTTTGAAATATTTAATTTTGTCTCAATCTTCCCAATCATTTAGTAAACAGTATTTAGTAAACATAATAAGTACATGTACATCAGTGGTTATAATGAGCAAGGCACCCGGGTGACTCTTTCAAAATATGTGAAAATTACGGCCCCTGCTCAGGGGCTTTGGTGTTGGGGCGGGGTTTATTGGTTGTATAGTAAAAAATGCATTCTTTGAAAATTTTGTTTGCTCCTGGGTATTTAGCAAACAAACTAAGTACAAAGCTATGATGAGCAAGGTTGCTTCTTCCAGAGTAGGTCAGGGTCTCTACTGAACAGTGAAAATGCATGCTTTAAAAATCTCTGCTCCTGGGCATCTAAGAAACAGAGTACAAATTTATAATGAGCTATTTTTACTAGATTTGTGAAATTTTGGACCACTGGGTCAGGAATTTTGGTGCTCGGCAAGGCTCTATCTTGTAGGGAATTTATACTCTACTTAGAGAAGTTATTGCCCTTTACTATTGACCTATAATAATTCATCACTGTTAATAATGTAATTGATAGGTCAATTGAATAAAAGACTTTGGTACTAGGTAAAAGATAAAAGGTACTTTGATAGTTTTTAATGGTCTGGTAGACTTGTAAATGAAGTAAATAAAAATGAAACAAAATACCTTCTTTTTGTACATTAAATGTTCTTCAAATACAAAGAGAGGCGAAAATTAGAGGGTATGAAATTGATTTAGCACTATTGTTTTGTTAAGTCTGCATGGTGATGTTGACAAATGGAAGTGTGCAATAACAGGCAAGTAAATAGATCTACTTTATGATTTGTTTCCGAGTACATGTACTAGATAAACTATATTGTTGATCCCTGATCATTCTACATTGTATTTCTTTTGCTTTTGGCCCCATATCTTCATACATCATATATCATATACTCGTATCAGTTTAGTATTTTTTTTTTTATCTTATACTTGTTTGGACCCTTTATAGTGTTGTCTTATACCATGGTGGCTGTTAAGGCCCTTGGGCCTCTTGTTTTAAAATTGATTTAATTTGATGAAAACTGAGGGAGATAACTCTTCAAGGACAGGTCAAGGTCATAAATACTTTTACATACTGCTAGTAATTAAAGAGATTGTTTATATAAATGAATGTAAAAACGTTATTATTTTGTTGCTTTTCCAGACGAACCCCCACCTTCCTATGATTCGTTGTATGGCAAAATCAAGAAAGCGAAAGTAGAATCTGAAAGCAATGTTGGATTTTTCAGAACACTAGCTGGACTCTTATTTGCATCAGGTATTTCTATGAAAATTCCTTTAAGTTTTTCAAATAAAGAGAACAATGACCAAATATGAAGCTATGAGATTAAAAGGAAAAAAAATGCTAGAATGTTCAGTATTCAATCAGTTACGATTCTGCTCTTGTTGCTTCTCCAATCTCTAAAATCATCAACGCTCTTATTCTGTTACAAAAGTCTGTTCACAAAAGCAGTGAGGAAAGTATAGAGATAAGAATTTAGACTAAGAGAAAGAGAATGAATCGAATTCTGAAAAAGGAATACTGAACAAGATATATATGAAATAAAGAGTTGCTAAAAATATCTACATTGTTATTTTTATTGGTATACCGTATATGAAGACTTGTCCAGTAGCATTATCCAACACATATTGCTAGCAAGTACATGTACATCTACTGCGCATGTGCCAAAGGAAAAACTTAAATGAATGCTATCATTTATGAACTGCTATTATTTTAAGAACCTTCACAATAAACCCTGATTATTTCCAGTCGGCTGTACCATTTGCCTGATAATTATCTTGGCAGTTCCAGTAGCAAGTATCGTCATTGGTGAGTACAAGTTTGAAAGTTGAACCAAGTACAGAAGTTAAAGTTGGTCAAGTTAAAGTTTGAGTAAAGATAAAGTTATCAGCTGGTGAAAAATGAAACTGGAATTATATATAAATGATATTCTGATTTTTTATTAAATTTTTTCAGGTGCTTTGTATCTGAACAAATGTCCAATCCAGCACTACATTCCTATTTACTTGATCGTATCTGGGGCGGTGGGGGTTGTGTACAATGTGTTTGGGATCCTGAGGAAGCTGGCCACAAAGAGGAATGAAGAGGGGGAGACGGAGGAGCGCCCGGGGGTGTTCACCAGCGTCTGTAACTGTATCTTTGGATGTTTTCTATTGGCTTGGTTTATTGCAGGTTTGAAAAAAACCTTTATATTCACCATTTTAGAAACAGTCTTATCATAAACTGTATATACCGTTCTAGTATGTTTGATTATCGAAAAGGTAAAGTAAGGGGAAAAAATCACACAACAGGAAAAAGTGAATAAAAAAGTATACATGTATGTACATTGTTCCCCCCCCCCCCCCCCCCCAAAATGACGGTTTTTAAACTGAAATATCATTAAAAAGCAAGGCTAGTAAATAAGACCGACATATAATGAAATGTTTGATTCTTTTACAGGCTTATATATCTTAAAATTGTGAACACATTTTGTTCAGAAGTATTTTTTTTTTATTCTTCTCTAGAAATGAAAGTTCAGAAAGCGAAACATGTTGAAGTTCTTTATTACTTCATTTTTTTAAATTATCATTTGAGAGACTTTTAAAATAAGTAAAAGTCCTCCTTCCTTCTTTTGTATTCTAGATACGAGTACTGTTAGATATGGGAGTATTGGTAAATATACGGAAAAAAATACACAGTTTTTTCGAAAGGAAAAAAGACAAAGACTAACAACCCGCATAAAATAAATTTCAAAACACACTACATAAGTGTCATGTAAATTTTGAATTTACCGGGTGGCAGTAAATACAAAATACTGCCACCCGGAAAATTCAAAATTTACAACATGACATAAGCATAACTATACTAAAGAATCCAGACCCTCACAGTCTCAAAATTACATGTTTCATAACAAGTCTCCTGTATATTTTCTGACCAGAATAAGATCCCAAACAAATTCAAAACCGCATTTGCTACAAAATTTTGTGATTCCACCTTGTATTTTTTTTTAAGTGTAGACCTAAGGCACAACAAACAATACTCAGCTTTCTATATTACTGCATACTAGTATGTCGTGATGAAAAAAAGTGAAGATAACAAACAGTGATCGAAAATCCACAAACGACACAAATCTGTGAACAGGGCATAAAACACGAACCCCCGGAAATTCCAGAGGTGGGATCGGGTGACTAGGAGGAGTAAGCACCCCACACCCGCCGTGAGCCCTGTGTATTGATCGAGTTTATTATCTAAAACTTGTCATCCTAGTTTTTTTTCCTTAAAAAAGTATTAAAATAAGGTGATTGGATACACAAAAATCACATGAAGATCTCTAAATTAGAAACGTTCAATTTGTTCTCTTTTTTTCAATTTATCAATTTCAAGGCACATTTTGTTTCGGAAAATACAGAGCGCAAGCTTGTCTGTCTACCAAATTTACATATTCATATATTAGTATGAGATAATACATCTTGTGTATAAAAAATCTCAGGCAAGATTGCATTCTGTGTTTCCCGAAGTGAAAAGTATCTCAAATGAACCAAGTTTCAACAGAAGTGAAAAAAATGGTCCCCCATGTACACTTGGAATTAAAAATAAATACTGGTTTTAAAACAAGCGTCATTCATAATTATCAATTGCAAATTACAATGTACCACAATTTAAACTGCATTTTGATTTTTCTGTTTATCAAACAAGGGGCGAAATTCGGCCATAACCAAGCCTTGTTCTTTAAAAATGAAGATTTTTTCCATCACATTTAGTTAAATTACGGTTACAAAAATTCATTTGATATGTAGTTAACCGGTCGAATGGTTATGTAAAAATACACTTTCGTACTGTATGTTGTTAAATACTGTAGAAGAGCTTTGCCCCAATTTCCATCCTTGTATTGCAATGTTTCCAGCAGTTTGTACTATAAATGTCTACAATGGTGTAAATAAATATCTTCCATTTACAGGTAACGTTTGGATCTACAGTATTTACGACGATTGGACGTCAGACCCCGCGAGCCCGGACAAATACTGCCATCCTACGTGTTACCTGTTCGCTTTCTGGACCACCACTCTAGTATACATTTTGATGGGGGCCACCATCGTCTTAGGTTGCTGCTCCGCCTGCATTGCTGCATGTTGCAGTTGTTTTAAAAGCTAATCCATCAGCTTAAATATTGTATTTGTAATGACGGATAAAGATTATAGTTTTGTTTACCATGATGTAATCTTGTTCACAGGGTATGGGGACAGTAGAGCTTTTGAATGTTACAAAAATATGATATGAATAACAAAAAAAAAAAATCATACATGCTATTTAGTTTTGTAAATATTTTTAATAAAATATGTTAAAGTTTGAGAAGTTCTTGTATTTAGACAATACTTCATTTGTTTACCTTAGCCAATTTTAAAAAGGAAATATGATAATAAAAAATTCAAGCATTTAACGACCACGACAACACTAACCATGGAAGAAAACAATGTTTGAGCAAGGTGACAACACCGATTACAGGAGTACATTAAGGAAGTTGGATCCTGCTATCAAAAGTCTCAAGATTTTCTTTAGTCAAGTATATGTTTAGTATCTGAACAAATAGCTTAATTAAAAATCAAAACAAAAATGGGGGACAATACTCTGCTTTTGGCCCTACGGTACATTTAATATGACCTTTTTACACTGAAATTGTGTCTTGAGTATAAATAACTTCTTTGAAGTTTTTCCTCCAATATTTTTTTATCCAAATTAATAATGGGACTAAATATACTCTTATTCTATCTTAAAAAGACACATTAAAAATTGTGACCAAGAAAGTTTCAATTTACTTCACATCATACATTATCCCCTTACAAAAATTTACTATAGTTTACTACAGTTAACTATAGTAAAAACTTTGATACTTTGATTTACTATGAAACTTTACTCTGGAGCATTTTATTGAGATTTCAAAGCTTAAAATCTCTTAAATTCGATAATACTGACGTAAAATTTGGAAATAATATGTGAATATACAAATAATAGTTCTATTTAATATAAAAAGTGTGCATGTCTGAATTGAAGAACAAAAGATGTAACAATCTGAAATCCATAGTAAAAATACGCTGATTTACTTTAGTAAAAAAAAATTTGATACTATAGTAAACAATAGTTAACTTTTTGGTGGAGATTGTGTATAATGTGTTTGGGATCCTGAGGAAGCTGGCCACAAAGAGGAATGAAGAGGGGGAGACGGAGGAGCGCCCGGGGGTGTTCACCAGCGTCTGTAACTGTATCTTTGGATGTTTTCTACTGGCCTGGTTTATTGCAGGTTTGAAAAAAAGATATTTTTACCGTTATTAGAATAACATTTTAGAAACAGTCTTCTCTTCAACTGTATATGCCATTGGAGTATGTTTGATTATCAAAAAAAAAGGGGGGGGGGGTAAACCACACCAACGGAGAAAAACATGAATAAAAAATTAAAAAGTATATTTCTCAAACGCAAACCGTCACATTTTGGAACAATGCAAACGAAGTAAAATAACATTAAAAAGCAAGGCCAGTATTCAAAGCCGACATATATACGTATTTGAAGTACTAGTAATTAAATGCTCTTAATAGACTAAATACGAGGGCTGTTCGGAAAGTTTGCGGATTTCTGTCATAACTTTTTTTTACTTAAAGTCATACATGTTCATGTATGATATCCAAATTTGGTAAATAAATACCTTCCACTTACAGGTAACGTTTGGATCTACAGTATTTACGACGATTGGACGTCAAACCCAGCGAGCCCGGACAAATACTGCCACCCCACGAGTTACCTGTGCACATTAGAATTCCAACAGTTTGTTGGAAGACCTGGGCCGGGTTTCACAAAACTATCGTAAGATTTGTCCTAAGATAGATCTTACGATCATCTTAAGATATGACTTATGACAATCATAAGATTTGTCACTGCTGTTTCACAAAACTATCATAAGTATAAGACAAGTCTTAAGACAAATTCCATTCTTCAATAATACAGGGAAATTTTTTAAAATATGTTTGCACGAAGTTTAGTTGTCTTTCTTAATTTCTTTGAAATATTGAAATAATAGTGTGTCATAAAAACTAAATTTGAATTAATTTAATCACAAAAAAATCATTGAATAAAATTTGCTTAAATGTCTTTTTGCTCAGAAAATAGTAGTTGCTGACGAAATGTATGTGATACTACTTTAAATTAAATCTACTAGACTAAGTGTATCTGAACCTTTACAAATAATGAATGATTTTAGCAATTAATCCTTTTGAAACACGAAATCCTTTTTAAAGTTCGTTCATAAAATTCGATGAAGGTGTGTATGAAACGCTTCAACTACTGCAACAAAATAACAATGCTAACATACGAAGAAGAGAAACGAAAGAACAATCTCTAATCAAAATTTTACAGTTTCAACTGCTATTAAGAAAGCATGTACAAGCAGCATCAAATGTTACAGCAGTAATTATATTGAATTTTCATACAGATTCTGGTGGATTAATGAGGGATACCCCAAGAATTAAAACTATTTGATTTTCATCTTATTTTGTAAGACTGAAAGAAATGTTTACTTTCAAATTCCTAAAAAAAAAAATCACTACAATGTAACAAAATAAATTAAAGTAAAACGTCTTAAACTGAAGGGTAGCTACTCAGAAGTTCGATTTTTTTTTTTTACTTTCATGGGCGGGACTTATCCAATCCATAAAAATGCTTATATTTCGTATTTTTATTTATTCAAAACATATTTACTTAACATATCAATAAATAGACTACATGTATCTCGAATTACGTTAGCCATTTTAAAAATTGCATAAGTTAGCAATGCTTGGTCATAGAAATTGTGATGTTCTTGCGGGGTATTGAATTCAAAATTAAACAATTTTGAATAAAGTTATATATGATATCTGGATCTTACATACATGTACATATATATATGACCGTAAGAAACAACTTCGGGGGGTGTAATTTCAGTTGGGAGGGGTCACAACAACAAAAAAAGAAAATGCCTTGAAATGAATAAAGTAACACAAACATAAAGAACGTTTATTTTATTTTTCTATCGTATATTTATTGGCAAATTATTTTTTTTTGGGGGGGGGGGGTGGTCTGGTCATTGTTCCGACTGGCCTGATATAGTCCAAAGGATTGTTCTATCTCTAAAAACTGTTTTCTTTAAATATCCTTCGGTTTTTAGCCAAAAGATATACTGTCGCCAGTTTCTTTTAGACTTAAGACAGGTATCTAGCTGTCTTAAGATTAAGATAGATCTTAAGATTATCATAAGATATGACAGTTTTGTGAAACGGCTATGGTGCAATCTTAAGATAATTTTCAATCTTAAGACAGATCTTAGTCATAAGATAGTTTTGTGAAACTTAAATTTTAAGTGCAAATTTTTGGAGTTAAGTCTGACTTAAGACTTAAGACAGTTTCATGATCCCGGAGCCTGGTCTCCGAAGACTACATAAACGTTGTCAATGAGGAACTCCAGCATCCTTTTAATATCAACTTCAGAGTACTTGTGTGTAGAATCAGAGTGATCTTTAACAAAGTAATTTTGTTGATGACCAATCACAACATAGGAAAGAATGGGTGGACTTAACTGGCCAGAAAAAATGCCGTAAATTAAAGTTTCATAAAATGTTTATTTCTTTCCATCTTATAAATCCCCGATATCTTAACAGTGTATTCATGGTACAGATGTGAATTTAAAACGCTCTTTTTGGGTAAACTAAATATATATCGAAGGCATGGTGCCTGAAGATTTCTTGAATATCAAGAGATAATCAGGGTCACGCGTTTTTCATCGTCTGAATACATAGTCAGCGCATGTTTGTCGGCTGTTCTTAAGAAAACTGTAGTTGTATATTGAACAAAATAATGTCATATTAAAAGGAGAAGAGCCGACAAACGTGCTCTCACACTTAATTTAACAAAAAACATGTTCAAAACAAACTTCTCGTTTCCATTGTTATGACTGAGTTAACCTTGATTTGACTTCGATTGACCTGTTAAATATTACAATTCATCATGTGATGTACACCTGCGAGTTTACTCGTGAAAACAGTTACATTGTATTCTTCAACCTGACCTCGATCTAAATCACGTCTTTGAGCGTGTTTGGTTGCCGTTTTCAGAATTGAGCAAATTAAATGTTGTTTTGATTTTGCGTGTCCACACATTTCTTTTTTAAATTTCATATTGACATCGCTGTTATTAATATACCATACACATATTCGAATTTCTAGAGAGAGGGAGAGAGAGAGAGATGTCAACAATGACGCCGATCGATAGCCCCGCCTCCTATTAATATTGATTACGTGACCTAAAAATCACTCCGGGTACATGCCAAATTCCGGAAGACGACACTAATGTATCGTTGCTTCAATTTTGATTCATGGCAACAGGGCATTGCTTTTGTACAAATGTTCTGCCTAATATAACCATGTATACGTAACTCTTTCTATTGCTTGTAATATATTTTGGATTCACTTCAATTACAGCTTGGTAGAGTAGTCGCAAAAAGATCCAAAATGGGGCGTTAAGTCCACCCATTCTTTTCCGTTTTTATTGAAGAAGCAGTTGTCTATGATATCAAAATGCCTAGTTTTTAATTTATCGTGAGGAATGGTTGTATAAAGTGTAGAAAAGTCGTACGTTTTGATGTTACTGACTTTTTAAAATTTGGTGATTTTAAATTTTCTAAAATTTCTTTGGAGTTTTTGAGAATCCACATCTGATTAACACCACTTCTAGAATATGCTGTAGAACACTACGTCTGAAGTTGCTCCTTAACAACAGTTAATATTTTTATAAGGAGTAAGGAAAGGGACTTTTTAAGTAGAGCATTTGCTTGACCTTAAGGAATCCAATATAGATAGGGTAGGTCGAACTCACCTAAGTTGACTGGAATGTTAAAAGTTTTAAATGCTGAAATGGGATTTTGAAGAATCTCATCTTTAGAAAGTGAACTGCAAATATAAGTTGGATTTCCAGAAGTAAAATTAAAACCAAACTCTTCTAAAATACAGTTATAATTATAATCCTTGCAAACAGAGACGATATTGTTAAAAGCCTTGTCGGCTTGATCCGTAACATATTGTTTATTGAGTCTTTCTAATTCTTTGATCACCTCCGATTTAGTGAAAACGGAAGGATAGATGGTTCGCATATCGCCTTTTATATTTCTTATACAATTCTTTAATATATTTCTAAAACATTTAATCCAAATATTTATATCTTCCTTTTCATATTTATCCCAACGTCTGGCATAATCTTCGACAGAATTCATAATAGAAATAAAGTTTTGTCGCCAATTGAAAGATCGGGGCTCCCTGTATTTAGGTTCTTTTCAAAT